GGTATGCAATCCCAGCATGCCTATACTCAGACAGGAGGGTTGGAGTTCAAGGTCATGTTCAGGTACTGCTTAGATTGTTCAAGGTCAGCCTGGGGTATTCGAGATTGGGTCTCCAAAACCAAGTAACAACAGATAAAATCATTAAAACAAGCGGGGCAATGGTGGTGCAGACCTTTAATCCCAGCACTCGGGAGGCAGAGGCTGAGGCAGGAGGACCTATATGAGTTCAAGGCTAGCCTGGTCTACAGAGCGAGTTCAGCCAGGTCAGCCAGGACTATTATGCAGAGAAAGCCTGCCTTGAAAAACCAAAACCAAACAAACACCAAACAAAATCATAAAACAAACCAGACTGAGATGAGCAGTCTGTAGGTACTGAAAGGTAAGGTATGTCAGCAATTGCTGACATCGTAAATGGCCTATATATCCATGAATCTATATTGGCTGTGAATGGCAAATGATTGAAATGATAATTTTTATTTACGGGTATTTTAACACAATAAAAATGTGATACTGAAGAATAATGGCATCTAGAAACTTCCATGTTTTCTCAGATGTGTGTGTGAGCAAGTGAGAGAACACACACACACACACACACACACACACACACACACACACACACACACATCAAATGGGCACTTGTACATCTTTGCATATCCAGAAGCCAGAAGAGGCCACTGAATTCCTTGGGGCTGGAGTGACAGGTGCTTTGGGACATCCAGCTTGCTTTGTGGATGCTGGGATCTGGATGGACCTCATGATTGTTCTGCCAGAGCTTTTGCCCACTGAACCATCATTCTAGAACACTTTCAAAATTTTTAGACAGGGTCTCGTGGAGCCCAGGCTAGTCTGGAACCTGCCAAGGATTTCCCGACTCTTCTACCTCCCTAGGCTGGGATTACAGGTGTAGGTCACCATGCCTACTTTCATAACAATCCCATCAGAATAACAGTATATTAATTGAAATTATTAATAAAAAATCAGCTGGCTGGTGATGGTGGTGCACGCCCTTAACCCAGCACTCAGGAGGCAGAGACAGGTGGATCTCAGTGAGTTCGAGGCCAGCCTGGTCTACTGAGTTTCAGGACAGCCAGTCCTGTTACACCGAGAAACCCTGCCATCTCTTGAACAAAACAAAAGAAAAAAGGTCAGCTGCGTACAGAGGATTACACCTGTAGTCTCAGTGCTGGAGAGCGTGAGGCTAGTCTACTCTACACAGGAAGGCACTGTCCAAAAACAAAGGAGCAGGGTGTGGTGGCACACACCTGTCGTCTCTGTTTTGCAAGTAGAGGAAGGAGGTTTGTTAGGAGGCCCACGTCTAACCCTGGCAATGGAGCTCTGGCTTAATAAAATGTGGTTCAGTGGTCATCGCTTGCCTAGCTGGGGCCTTGGGCTCCATATTCAATCTTCAGTACCAGGGCAGAGGCAGGGGCTTTCCTGCTCAGGGGTGGAGTATGCATTTCACAAGTGTGAGCCTCAGGTGTCAACCCCTGGCACCCTAGAAAATGGAACAAAGGTCATACTTACCCATCACCTCATTCGGACCCCTTTCAGTCCCACGATGGCAGCCTGCCAGAATATACCTATGTCTGCCCTCTCACCCATCTTGGCTAGTCCCTTGCGACGTTGGGGACACACCAGTGACAGACGCAACCCTGCTTCTATTCTATTCTCCTGGGGCTCACGTTCAGAGGGGAAGACAGCCCTGTGCTCAAGTGGGCAGGGCCTGGGAGAGACCGAAGGATACCACCGAGGGCTTCTTGGAGTCGGTGACTGCACTGGGCTAAGCATTTAGGAAGCAATCCAGTCGAGTAGCAGGGATGGTTTCTGTTATTTTGGGTTCTTCCTCTGAGGTCCAATGCCTCTCTGGTTTCTCAGGCCTCTCACGTGTTACTAATTCATCAGACTTTCCCTTGAGGCCGCTGTGAGCCAGAGGCTACTCAGTGTCTGATGCTCACAATCCAGGGGGGACTACAATTGAATAATCCCATCAGCGTGTGTTACAGGAAGCATCTCAAACATGGAATTACAAGTTGTGCTGTGGACAGCTAAAACCCGGGACAAGGACATATGGAGGAAAAAAAAATCCCAGGCGCCTGTTAGGGGTGGATCTGTTGCCGTTTCATACATGAATACAAAGTCCTACAGTCCATTCACCCCAGAACCCTCTGTCATTCTCTCCTACTCTGCCGAACCCCTCTTCCCGATTGATTAACCTCGGGCGTTGGTGGTGCACGCCTTTAATCCCAGCACTCGGGAGGCAGAGGCAGGCGGCTCCACCTGCTGGTCACACTGAGAATGACACTTAGAAGTGGCTTCAGCTTGCTCAGCTGCTCCTCAACTCTCCGGAAAGTGGGGGGACCCTGCCCTGGCACCTCCTTGGCTCCTCCTGTCTCAGGCCAGGTCCTACTTGGCATAGATCTTGGGGCCTGACCCGGACACACTTCCCCCACAAGTGTTTTCTTGGCCTTGGGCTGCAGCTGCCAGGCCTCAGCACTGTTCACCCTGGGACTATTAGAAGCCGAGTGGCGGTGGGCGCTGCGGTTAAGTGCTTGGCATCTGGAAACCCAGTGAGTAGAGGTGAAAGCTTGATTCTGCACCACCACTTCCATAAGTGGCAGGCTTTTACATGCTTAGGCCTCCTGTCTGAAAAAGACAAAAACAAAGTCTCCGGCTCCTACTCTGTTTTACTAAACGGAAGCCCAGGGAAGAAGTCACTGCACCACTAAGTAGGATGTGTCCCGAGTGGCCTCATCCGTCTTGTAGGAGTGCAGGTGTGTGCACGCTGTCCTCCAAGTGGTCAGCAGGCTGCTCTCCACCTTGCTTTGAAGCGGGGTCTCTCAGTAGACTGATCTGACCACAGGGGTGCTGGGACCACAGATGTGTGCCCCAGCACTGGGCTTTATGTGGCTTCTGAGCACTGAACTTGGGCTCTCAGGCTTTTATCTCTGGCCCCCAAAGTAGCCTCTCTCAAAAGTCTAGCCCTTGAAATCAGGAGTGGTGGCGGTGGGTCTGCAGCTGGGAGTCCCGAATAGTCCCACACATCCCTCCAGTGGACGGGGAGGCTTCCCTACGGTTCATGAAGTACAGGAAGTCACTGAGCAGCTGGGTCTCTCTGAAGCCCGGGCTGGCCTTGACCTCAGGGTGACTGGCCTGTCCCAGGGTTCAGTCACAACTGCTCAAGTTCAATCCCCTCTGGTGAACTCCTGCTACTGTTATACATGCTGACAGGGCCACTGCAGCTCAACTGGGTGCCATACTTGGGAGGCCACAAGTGAGGCCCACCCATGATGGACCTGTCTCATCCAGCCTCACTGTTTGCTGGCCCCTGACATCCTGCTCTCCCCTCAGGGTGGCCCATTGGGTCAGATGCCTCTGGGAGCTCTCTTGATAGCGGGCCTGTATTTGAAGTCCTCATACACACAGACCCAGACTGCCAGCCAGGGCAGTACCTTGCCCTGGGTAACCTGTCCACAGAGAAGGCCGAGGACAGATGGAAGAGTCCAGACAGGTAGTCACTGTATTTTATTGGAAAACATTGATATATATATTTTTTCACAGCTTGAACTGAACACAATATTGCCCGGTTAAAAAAAAATAAACAAGAAAAAACAAAATAAAACAAACAAAACTGAAACATTCGGCAAAGTCCACAGCTTCATGCCTACCTGCCCTTACCCTCAGCTCTTGGCTGGGTCTCCCGATATGCCCTGTCCCTCCCTCCCTCAAGGCTGGTGCCAAGGGGTAGAGAAGAGAGTCTCAAAGCTGGGCAGGTCCCAGCAAAAGCAACGTGATTGCCCTGGGGGTGGGGGTGGGGGGCAGATGAGAACAGAGAAAGGAAACGAACCCAGACTGGACTGCCCACGTTGAGTGACGTATGTCCCAGAGGCTAGAGTCAAAAGCAAGGGCACGCGCGCGCGGATCATGCTCTCCGCTGGGGAGTGGGGTAGTGGGGCAGGCAGGGCGAGGGCAGAGGCGGGCAGAAAGCGATGCCAAGTCACCACAGAGGGGCAGGAGGTGCCCGCGGCGTGCTCTGCTCTGCTTCCCACAGAAGTGTTTATTGCAGGTTGGTTCTTGTGGGCATGGTGGGACTCAACTCCCTCTCCCCACCCTTTAGTTGGCCCGGCATGTTTGGGGCAAAAATTAAAATTTTAAGGGGCATAAAGGGGAAGGAAAAAATCACCAGCGCATTACACAGAGGCCAGCCCCCAGGGCTTTCTTGGACCAGCCCTGGACTGGGCAGGCGGCT